GCCTTTTATGTTTGATACACCTTTTCGAATCTTTGCCATATGACAGGCAAAAATCGTGAGGGTCTACTCCACAGAAAGCTTCTCTGGTTTCACATGCGTGGTCAAGTATAGTCCTATTTTCTTGGCACTCATAAACGACCTCCATTCCGCAAGACGTGTGAGGGTAAAACCTCTTAATTTCATGGCCACACATGTTGAATGGTTTGGGAAGATTTCGGTTCGGACAGATACACTCCCCATTTCCCTGAAATTGAATCTTCAATTTGAGACAAAATACATATGCGTACGGTAAAACAACTGTTAATTTACTTACCATGCAAAATATGCAGTTTAAAATGGTTGCAAAAACTATGAGCTTATACATTCTCTGAATAGTCAAAATCTTGTTCATTCAACAACAGGTTCGAAATGTGTACAATGTGAATCTTGTTATACTACTGGCTATATTTAATATATTTACAGCAAAGGAACAATGGTTTGCGCAATGACATTTGTTATACGCTATTAATTTCAGAATTGCTTGGTTGGCATTGACATTGGCTTTGTTTCTCACTGGTGTTCAATGGTCTCGACAATTGTATGGAAAGCTCACCGAAAATCCCACTGTCCTGGTATTCGACGAAACTACTCTCCCCGTGGACAGAGTCACTTACCCAGAAATTCAGATTTATAAACGGAGCAATTTTATTGCGACAAAAATTGAAGAATTCAAGGAGTACGGAACATACTAAATAAAAGACACCACACATGGATAGAAAATAACTATTTCTTCTATAATAGGCTTCATAATGACGCTAGGTTTGCCCCTGTTCACGATTCGGATAATATTGAATGGCAAAAGGAAGAAACAACTGCTCTCCTCTACACGATCAATCACATTTGCAATCCATTGGATCCTGAAATAATATGGAACAACGAAAGCGAATCCAGCAATGCAAAAAACATTATTCCCAACCTTCGGCATGCTGATATTTTCGAATATGATGAGAATTCTCCAAACAAAACCTTCATCAAAACCAAATTGATACCAAAACTGAAGCAGGTAATTTATCTCTCTTTTGTCGCACCAATTGTTTTGAGAAATTCTCAACCACAACCATTTCTTCCTAGGCAATCCCATCATGCACTGGCGATAATGGAATCATCAAAGCTTGCGTTTGGGGTTCAAAACGAATTGATTGCAACGATGCTATCACCGATATCATTACTGACACTGGGGCTGCTTGCGCATTTAATCGAATGGCTTCTTCAATATCGGGAAAGTATGTGACAAAATGCAGGACATGTTGATTAAATAGACTATTTAACGTAAATAATAATTATCCTAATTAATGGACATAATATTCAGGCACGATACCATCAAAACACATCTCGCCGATGAGAAAGTTTGCAACCAGTCCGAGTCGGAATTGTATCTAAACAAGCACAATGATCTAAACCTTCGCACCCCATCCAATCGAACTTCGACATGCAAAGAGCAAGCACATCCTTACCAAGATAAGATTCCGCTAACACAAAAGTATGCTGGACCCCGTTTTGGATTTGGATTTGTCGCCCAGTTTGATTTGGACAACACGGTATGCCCACAAAACGACGGGCTTGCATATATCCTTGGAATTACATCCATCTATGACGAGCTGAACGCTGACACCGGAGGGGTCAAAATTCTCCTGAATCATGACGTGAAAATCATCCTTGAAGCCGTGATTACTATTTCTGAGAAAGACATCAAGAAATTGGATCGTGTATTTTATTTACTTGCTTAAATAATGTTAGCAATTATAATATTTTCGTTTTTATCTTATCTCAAGGGGGACCGTGACTGTATTTTGGCAAAGCCGGATAAAAATCCTCCAGATTTTTATCAATTCTACACCCAAGAAAATTGTATCAAGGAATGCAAATCAGAGGCAATCTTTAAAAAATGCAACTGTAGCCTGGCTGGACTATCAAGTGAGCTAATCCCGAATCATAATAGTCGTGCATTTAAAAAATCACATTATTAATGCAGATAAGCCTGGGCGAAAATTGTGCACTACATTGGACGACACTATTTGTGCAGCAAAGATACAAAGTAGAGTGCTTGACTTGATTAATTAATATTAATTGTTAAGTATTAAAATAATTTAATTTTATGCATATGTACATAGATGACGGCGTCAATTGCCCCAAATGTTTACCAGGTTGCTCCCACATCGCGTACAAAGTTGCGTCGATCATTTCCGTTCCGTACGACGAAAAAACAGCTCCGGCAATCGTGAAGGAAATGACAGGGTAAAAATAAATGTTTCCCAAACCGTGTAGAATAGGATATCAAATAAAAATAAATACGTTGAAGATGTGTAAATACCTAGAAAATCTTTCCTATTTTGCAGAAATGCTCTTTACACGTCGCGTGTGCAAATCGGTTTCAACGTTCATCAAATGTTGGTGATGGAGAAACAAGTCAAATATGAATGGACCGACATCATAGGCAAGTTTTATTTCTCACAGAAAAAAAAAATCTTATGAGAAATTAATTCGTAATTTTATTTCTGATAAGCTCTCATCGGTGGCACGATGGGATTGACAAGTGGAATTTCCGCCATTGATGGGGCTCGAGTCGGGGAAGCTACTCTGGATCTCATTTGCAGTTTGATCGCTCTTCTTTGGGCCTACCTGACCAGGGATGACGATGACGAAGATAATGACGACACCAACAACAATGGTGCGAATGCAGCAATTGAACAAGCTCCAAACCCACAAGAACAGGCGGAGGGAAATGCACCTGATAATAAGCAGCCTGAAATTGAACCACCGCCGCCGCCACTCCCACCACCACAACCGGACGAGGAAGATAAGCAACCAGGGGATAAAGAAAATGCATCCGATAACGTGACCGAGCAGCCTGAGATTGAACCACCACCGCCACCACAACAACCGGAAAAGGAAGAAAAGCAACCTGTGGAGGAGGAAACTACATCTGACGATTCGGACGATGATGAGCCCATATTTTGTCCTGGTTTGACACATCCTGACCATGTCTTTCCACGCACATGCTCATCCCCACCCCCTCTGCGACGGAGGAAACAACAGGAAGGTGACGGATTCATGAGAAAATTTCGTTCCCTATTTCGATCACCAGGCAAGTTTGAGATCGATCCGGAGGACCCATTCAGACCAACGAGTGCGATGGAGGACGCCATGAGCACCCTGAAACATTTCGCCATGGCCTCCATTTTTACGGTAGGGTCGGAAAGGGAACAGGGAGGGTCAGGCGTCCCTGCTGGAAGAGAAAGCAGCCCACCAACTGATGATGGAGAAAGCAACGCGGTAGCTGGCGATGGGACGCCTGCCCCACAAATGTATCCATGCACTGATGAAACTGATTCAATGGGCACACAAGGTCTCAAATCTTAAGCTATGTTTTTACACATGAATTACAAAACCAATGATAATTTTGCATACTTGATTTCCATATGTAAATACAGAGCCTGGCTGCTCATCTGCTTCTGTTCCTACGGATGGACAAGAATCAGCAGGTTTGATCACAGGAGAAATTCGCTCATCTGCGGAGACTGAAGAAAGCAACTTGGACAAAGAAAATAATTCCATTCCTACAACGGCATCCAATTCTGTCGCAGAGATTGGCCCCCAAACAACCAGTCAAGGTCTGTGCATTCTTATACAGGACAGTTCACAAGATAAAACTTTATCTTATACAAAATTCACATAATTCCAGGTGTAATTACCCCTCGAGGATTTTGTGACGTCAACCCACTTGACTCCTCCCCCTCTCGACCCCACACAGCTGGGGGGCAAAATCCCTCTCCTCTCGGTGACGCTGAGGTGCCCAGCACAAGTCGTCAGATTCATTCTGCTCCTGGAAATGCACCACGGATCTTAATACCATCGTCTACTGTTTCCTCGACATCTGAAGTTGGTAGCGTCATCCCCCCAGTTGATGTTGACGTTCGACCATCGTCAAGTCATGTCTTGGACCAGTTAGGCTTGCTTTAAGCAACTCGATAAGCCAAGTCGAAGTAATGTTTGGGCCAACTAATACAAAAATATTCTAGTCAGTTTTCTAGCAAATTAATGCAAAAACATTGTAGTCGATTTTGGAGCCAATTTATTAATGCAAAAACATTGTAGTCAATTTTAGAGTCAATTAGTGCAAAAATATTCTAGTCAATGCAGTAGATCACTTATGTAAATACTTCTCAGCTCAATTAATATGCCTTCACTAACTAGTCATAAATACGCTTGGACAATCCCTCTGAAATTATTTTGAAAATATTATAATGACAATCGTGACATTTTTCGAGATTATGAGATGATTTATGTTTTTGAAAATAACCTGTTAGAACATGTAGAAAAATTATTCAATCTTTCTCTGACCTAATTATCTGACTTACAATTTTAACCACGTGCCAATAATAAATACTCCTATATAAACATAGAAATATTCATAAAATGATAATACTTAATTAAACAATATTTATGCAAATTTTGACAAAAAATTACAATAGGCATTCATAATGCGATATAAAATTTTTCGTTTTATTTTTTGTAGATTTGTTTTTCTTTTATATTAAAGTAATTTGTTAATTTTATGAAATTGACTTTTTTCTTGGAATTTTTTAATTTTTTTTGAGGCCTCGTTAATCCCCACCCTTTTAAATATTATAATGCAATCAATTCGTATTATAACTTTCAGCTTAAATCAGAATGTAAAAGCTTAAAATTTTAAATGCACGTATGTAATCAATATTAAATTGTGTGCACGCAAATAAAATTTATTACATTTTATGCATTAAGTTTGGCGACTATTTACAAAAAATTTAACTAACATCTACATATGTAGAATATATAGGACTCGCATGCAAAATTATGCATAAAAACTTCATGTAATCAAATTGGTAGCTAACTAACTTTTCGTCTAGAAATTTTTTCATGAGTTTAACTGATAAGCCTTAATACCTAAAAATGGAAATGATAATGATGCCATAAAATAAGAGTTTTCTTGTTCTTCATTGATATTTTTATTGATAACAGATGCTCGCTTGGTATAATAAGGCACAAGAGACACGATATTTTTTTCGACATGTTCTTGTTCCATTAATTTCCTTAATTAATTAACTTATTATTATTATACTCCTCAAAAATTGATCAGTTCTGTTGCATATTTTTCTCATACCCTTCCCCTTTTCTTCGTCTTGTTTTGTTCATCGCCGTGGTACAATTTTATATCAAAGGACTTATACTCTTATACAACGACATGTATGATATGAATCAGTCGGATGAAATGTTATTGGTGTATACGTATACTCGTACATACAGTAATTAATTGATACCCGAAATCGCTTAAGAATGAGGTATCATTATACAATGTGCAATTGCTTATACAAGTGGACTAATAAACCTCGTACAGAGATATAATAAAGCGAATAAGTTCAATCAATAATTAGTAATGAATTATTATCTCCCCACTGCTTGCGTTCCTCGCTTCGCTTTCCCTTAACCGCTAAAAGTAATGACGTACTAATTTTACGATACGGTAGTACTACGACGAGACGACACAATTGAGTTAACAAGCAGTAAAAAAATGATTCATGATCTGTGAATACGTACGTGTAGCACATTAATAAACTATGTATGTAGTAGTAGATTCATTGCTAATATCCCGTGTTTACGATTTCTCTCATTTTTAACAGTTGATATTCTAATTCGAGAAGGGAACACTGGTGGGCGTGGCTAAATTACTTCATTATGCAATAAGTGTGACTTGTAGTTTAAACTTATTACAATTATGTAGTACATTACATTTTTTTACGACAAAGACTGCGAATACAGAACACATTTTCTCACATTAAACATTCCCATCTTAAAAGATTCAAGAGGACTTATGCTCTTGACTGATACCATTTTTTAAGAATATGTACGTGCTGAATTTTTTTTACAATACAGATTAAATGTTGCAAAATTTGACTATTCATGACAAAAAACATATACAAGTAGCTAAATAACTCATCATATCGCGACGACGATGACGACGACGGTAGGTTAATCCCAGTGTGGAGTATTTCATTTTCAAAAAGCGAAATTCAAAATTCTCAAAATAATAATAATAAATTAATCAGAGGCGTGTGTGTGTGTGTGTGTGACTAAAAGATAAAATAGTCCGTTTAAAAAACTAGGTAATAAAATAAAAACTAAAGTTTCATTTCAAGAAAATGGACAAGTAAATAAAATTTGATTAGATCCATCAAGTAAACTTGTTGTTGTTGTAGGAGGAGGAGTAATAGTCAAATGAAAAGTCTTGTTTGCAGTATAATTATCACCACCAACTTGAAACAATTAATTAATAATATCCCTACAGTACATAACTTGCAATGCGACAATAAATGGAAATATAAAATTATATGTTGCGAACTTATTAGTCTACTGCGAAATTTAATGTCTAAATAATATATATTGTGTGTATAATAGCAGCAGACGAGTAGTACGTAGTAGTGATAGAAGGGTGACTGGTTTCAATTGATTGGAAATAGTTGCATTATTGTTAGGTGTATAATAATTATTATTATAGTTTCACGTTCTTAATTACTCTACACTAAATCCACAAGTTTCTTCGACCGCTTTGGTTAGCTTTTCGTAAAACTTTTCTTTCGTTTCATAGTTTGGGATGTCGAGTCGATTGAAGCACGTGTGCGCTTTGGGCAAATTACTTGTGGGCGCTTCAACTAGATGAATCGTAAATAGGCGAGGTGTCCCAGCTCCGGTGGACCCTTGAAGATTCTAAAATGAAGAAAAAAGTTACGTTAGAGATTTATGAATATTACACAAGGGTATCTGATTATCTTATACGCATGATTCTTACCTTAAACCCTTGAATCGGCACCCGGCTCGAACCAGTAACAAATTGTAGGAGGCTGTTTTAAACAGAGGAGAAATGGAATAAGAAATATTATAACACAAGTTTTTTCCTGGGATGGGAAAGTCACCAAGAATGATTAAGAATAATAATTTTACCGAGCACGCATCTCTTCGTCGTATTGAACAACAATTTCCCAGAACCAGAGTGGGATTTTGTCGGTACCCGTACAAGCCTGCAATAAAAAATTGATCGTGTCACATTTAGGTACTTTGATTGATTTAATACAACGCCCTTTTTAATAGGTACCTTGAGTTTGGTGTGAGTTTTCCAGTCGTCCAGATCAATTTTTCCAATGCCTCCAATTAAAAGTTCTAATTCTCGCTCATCAAACGCTTTTAGTAAATGTTGGGGTACAACTTCAAAAAAGCATTTTTGCAGAGCATCAAACTGTTTTTCAATTCCTCTCATGAACCGGTAATTCACATAAAGTCTATAAGATACAAATAAGACATATTACTAATATATTACCACATTGTTTCATTATTGGAAGTTATTAAATGTTAACCATACTTGACATATTCATCTTTGTTCTTTTCATTGACGGGAATGTCTTTTCCTCCCATTTTCAACTCACGCATTTCCACCAGACCGTAATGGTTATGTTCAACACAGAAATTGGAGTCAATGACGCCGGTGATGTCATTATGTCTACAATATAAAAAGTTACATGTGATTAGTTGACTAACAGAGGAAGGTGTGATTTTAGTACTAAAATTGTAATAGCCAATTAGTAAATATATTCAAAGTAGAATACTTACAACATCCAATTTAAACTTTGGTACAGCTCGGGGTCAACCGCTTGAATATCCGGCAAGTTTATAGATTTGTTCAACAGCATTCTACATGTATGCATAAAATATAAATAAGAGAAATCTTCTTAATGTACTTAAATAAAAATTAAAAAACCATCCACTCACTTATAGAACGGAAGTGTAAACGAGCCATCAATGTGGTGGCCATGAAAGACTGCGAGACCCAAAACCCGACCAACAAATTGAAAGTATGACAAGTGGTCCTAAAGAAGAAAAGTAGAATCAAGTTAAATGATTCAATATCGTACAAATTAAGGGGCACAAGTCAGCTTAGATTTCTTACGGGGTTAATATGGGAGTCTGGATTAATTTGGACGCAACACTGAAAAACAAACAATAACATGAACAAAATTCATCTATTGGACAAAGTGATATTGTGGAGCTACAGCTCTTACATAATTGATGAATGAACTTAGATATTTACCTGGTTTTCATGCGAGTATTGAAATAGACCATAACTCGGGTTCAACATCTCGTGACTAAGCAGGTGTAGCCATTCGCGTGCAATCCCACCATAATCTGCCGAGATATGAAGATTTGAATGAAATAATGAGATTTGAACGAAATGAATTTCGAAAAGCATACAAGGACAGGCATAATATTTAACGCTTATAACACTTAAGACTATATATAACACTTCCATGAAATAACTTACCTAATCCTTCTTCTCCTTTGAATTTGACCATTAGTCTTTTTCGCATGTCCTTGACGCGTAGTTTCAAAACTTGGCGATAAGATTGCTAAAAGTTAAGTTAAGAACTATTTAAAAATGTTCAATAATTTAAATTAATTTAGATTTGCATACTTCAAATATTTCTTTTCTTGTGACTTCTATGCGGCAATGTCCGTTTCTCGGTTGCAAAAGTTGGAGTTCGACACGAAGTTGTTTGATCTTAGCATTTAGATCTCGCTTGTACTTTGGAAGAACTTCTACGTCACTTTTACCGTCACCTATATGTACAGACTGCCTGTCCCGACGATCTCGGTTTGCATTCTGCTGACCAATGGAAACATTTGCTGGGATTCCAGAATGATTTGTGCTCGAAGCATCACGAGATCGACTACTGCGGATGCGACCTCCGCCTCCTCCTGCGTTGTTCGAATTATTGCTAGGAACAATTGGAGCAGAAGAATGAGTCGGAGAACGAATTGGAAGGGGAGCATTGTTGTTTGAAGTGCTTGGCAATAATGGATTATTTGGTGGAGGAGCCGGATTGAGTGGAGAGGTTGAAGAGGAGGAAGAACCGGAGGCGGATGTCGTCCCTCTGGAAGAAGAACCACGCGGTTGTGGTTGTTGAGAACTTCCTGCAGCAGGGGCTGGCCATTTAATCAGTCGTGGATCAGTAAAATGAGTAGTACGGCTGTTGTGGTCAACGAAATAGGGTTTCCTATAAGAAAAAAGTAATTGTAATGTAATTAGGACATTAAATACATTCAAATGCTGTATATGTATAAGTATTAATATTGCAATGATAAAATTACCCGGAAGGTGTTAACCGCTGCTCCCAACCATGCGGAAGTGAATTTCCCATGGTCTGCGATGATGGTAAATCTTTAAGTCCTGGATGGTACCACGAGCTCGTACCGGTGCTGAGTTGATAAAAATAAACTTGTCCTTGCTCTGTAATCCTAGTTTCGAATCCGGCAGGAAGCTCAACAATTGGAACTGCAGTTGGCGGAGCACTGCGCCGCGCTTTCCGACGAGACGAAGGTGGTGGTGCATTCCCGCTCCCATTGATAATATTTAGACCAGCGACACCATTTACACCATTACTATTACTGGAACTGGATCGTTGATTCCCCGACAATGATGACGCGGAGGGTTGTAGCATTTGTTGAGAGGATGAGGAAGGTGTACTTGGAGTCGGATGTTGAGAGTGAGTAGAAATTATTCCTGGAGGAGGAGGCCCACCAATAGATGAGTCACAAGGGGATAAACCTTGTTGTGTAACAACCAAAGATTCTGGACGACTACTATTTGGAGTTGGTTGTGCTTGCGATTCTCTTCGTGGTGGTGAAGTTGATACAACTGCTGGGGTTGAGGTTGATGCTACCAAAGCAATGTTTGGTCGTGGATTATCTAGCACTCCGAAACAGGATACGTTGCCCATTCGATCCACAACGGCAGTAGGAGGCAGACGATCACTTCCTCCAGCGGTGTGAGCATCTCTTGACATCAAAGATACGGCAATTTGGCCACGCACAGGTTCTGGATCGGAAGGACTGGCTTTGCATAAACTCATCAATTGGGCTGAAAGAGCACAATGATATCGTTAAAACCTAAAATCGAAGGAAATACTTTACATAAAGACACTCCAATTAAGGAGGACTTACGGCCAGCATCCCGAAGACGTTGAACTGCTTTCCCAACGATATGGACACATCCTAACAAGTAAAATTACAAAAGTCGTATATAAATAAATGGTCACAGCACAAATACCGCGTAAAAATTATTAAAGGACATTTTGTACCTAGAAAACCAGAATGCTGCTCCTTGTGTAACTTCTTATGGTTCCAAATGCTGCAATAAAACAATTCCAGTTATAACAGATTGATTATCATGTTCATATGTCCATAGGTTCTTTTTCAATTTCCAAAAATAGACATTATTCACACATATGTACCTGATCGTAATAGAATCCGTTCTGGTCAAGTATCTGTTAGTACAGCAAAATAAACATAAATATTATTACGAGATTACCATGAAATACGCACCAGCATAAATAAATAACTCAACACTGCTCTTAATCGTAAAATCTTACAGATCAAAGTACTGATTCCATGTTGGGTGGAGTGTCCCTATAATTTCCATAATAAAACACATTAAAGATATACTCATGTATTTGTATATGCAGATAAAGCAAAGGAAATTGAAACTTGATTGCCAATTTCACAGCTATTTTTTTGTTACACATTACCTTTGCAAGGTTCAGTCGAAAAGCTCTGATTTGTTCCGTCCACGCTAATTTTTGCATACGGATCCGGTAAACCTAAATTAAGTGGAATAATATGTAGTTTTGTGTAATTATCATTATCAAATCATCATCTGCGTCCATCACTAATAGATGAATTTTATATTTCATCACTTACGGAAGAAATCCTTCTTGACCAAACTTTTAGCCCCGAAAACTGAAAATATAACAAACAATACATCAGAAAAAAGATCGAACCCAAACTTTATTTAATAAATATTGCTTATTAACCGACGACACGAATAAAAATAAATTGTTTGTTCCGGATCACGTTTGTCGTGCTAAGTGAGCGACAAACTACAGCGTTTCGTTTACGGTCTAGCCCAATGCCAACAGACGATGAAGATGGTCTCAACCCCCCACAACCACCACCCCTTCTTTCGCGTCTCTTATTCTCCATAATAGCAATTCCTCTATATTTACTTAATATAATTTAGGTGATGATGGCAAATGCAAATATGTTTATCTTGTCTAATTGCGTCTCCAATATTATTATATTTTATCTCAAAAACGGGTTACACATATATTTGCACTCCTACTAGTGCCAATTTAAATAGAATCACTAACACACTGCTGATTAATTTTGTCGTGAAAAACGACGACCCCATACTGTAAAGTATTAGACGTTTCAACTAACAAAGTACTTTTACACCGCAAAATAATCCTCTTCATCATCCGTATGTCTGACTCTGTATTAGATGAGTCGAAACCAAAAATAAACTAAACTGATCACTTGATCTACCACCACACCACAAAAGTGAATGACTATGACAAATTACAAACTTTTGTTAAATAGAAATCTAAAGACGTATAGCAGAAAAACTTCGAATAATGAATTTCACCCAAAGTGCTTAATAATGGGACTGACTAACTGAAAAAGGTTCTTCCATTTCTTAAACTGAACAATTGGAACCGAGTGAGGTGTCAGACAAACCGTTACCATTACCACTTCGCCGTCATTATGAAATTGTAGAGCTGCTTCACTTCAATAATAATGACTCGTCTTCACGTTCCTTAATTAGGTCATGATGACAAATCCGAGACGCCGAAAGACACAAGTTTGCCTAATGTAATGTGTAAAAGTCGAAATAATGTACAAGTTTGTAAAAAGCACACACACATCATAATGAGCGGAAGTTGGTGGGAACTGGGTACAATAAAGTAGTGGGGAGGAAATTGCAAAGAATTGTTCTCTCAGCAGGGAGGGAATCGAATGTCGAATCCCCACCACCGGATTTAACCTAACTACTTATGCGCTTAACATCACGCATCGTCGCCATCCGTTTTGTATTTTTTCGACTTACAATTACACGGGGGTGGGTGCATTCTTTCTTTCTAATGCTTTCCTGAAACTGAAATGCGCTATAATAATCTAATAAAATCGTCACTCACTTGTCACTCTGACTTTGGCAGCTTGTTGATTATTTCTGCCCCTGCCCCCCGCGTTGTTATTATTCGCCACGACCACAGCCCCATTGGCCACAACCTCCATTATTTTATCAGTGTCTTCTTCTTTGGTAAATCTCAACAAATTCCTGTCGATCCGTCCTTCGGGTGCGGCTGCTAGGGCTGTGTGACTCAATATTTTCGGATTTTGCTCAAACCCAACGACCACGACGATGAGCAATTTCCATCTCCACTATTTGGTTGAACTATCATCTACGAATATTCCTGGCCATACCGTTCGTCACTATCCATCTTGTTATTAAGCTAATCACTAATTTGTAATAGTTAATTATATATATATCACATTAAAACTAATTGAACAAAAACCGAGAACTCTCTCTCTCTCTTATCACTCGCCTCCTTCAGAACAAAAATCACTGTCTAACCCCATTTTATCACCATCATCCTGCCCTCACAGTTTTGGATGATTTACAACAAAAAATTGGCTAATTATCACATCACCAAGAATCATGAAATATTCACAGGTCGAATGTTATGTTGTTCTTACAAATATTTGAGTCACATCATCGTTCATTATCTGACTGGAGGAAGATCCAGTTAAAATAATAAATAAAGTTCCTTCCCTCCCGAACAAATATTGAAATGAGTCGTCGTGATTTGTAAATTGTGACGGAAAGGTAATTAGTAAATGTGGTGGTGGTGGTGCTGGTGAGAAAAATGATAATTAAAGTTGAGCCTAAAAGTAACCAATCCTCATCATAATATTATATTATCTGTAGTACTGCTGCTGTTGCTGCTCCTGTTGATAAAGATAAAAAATTTATGGTTGGCAGGATTTGTGGTTTGTGAGTATAAGTTTTAGTGTGTGTGGAGTAATATGAAGGAGGAGGAAGGAAGGAAAGGGATGTCTGGCTATGGTAAATATTAAATTGGTTTTTCAGTTTAAATCATCCCGGGCGTAGTGGGATCTCACACAAACTGAATATAAAGGGTGTCTCATAAATTCACTACTCTCTGATCCACTCTAACTTGGAGTCTTAAATTCTTTGATATGAAATGTAATTAAATTTTGCACTATAAAATGGTAGCTATTTTGTATTTAATTATTTTTAACCTCATTGTATTTTTTAATTACTTTTTAATATAACTCCCTGAACGAAGTTGCAGTTCGCTGTTGAAAGCTTGGAGTATAATAAAATGTTTGTTAAAATCTCATGCATAATTAATATCAGTTCAAAACTTATTATTAACGTGAAATGTAACGTTTAAATGGAAACATGAAAGGTGTGCAAGGTGGTAGAATAATAGAAATTATTCTACAAAAATACGTGGATCACCTGCCAAATTTATTATTTATATTAAAATTTTAATATTTACATCTATCAGAGTTGCATAACTCCAATAGATATAGAATCCAGATGTATCAGTAAATTCCATGCAATGCTTAATGAATAACCCTTACATTTATAGTTTAATATCATTTTAAAATATTTTGAAACAAGAAATTTATGTCACAATTACAATTATTATACACTTGTAAAATTTATAAAAATGCATACTACCATATTTTAATTAAGTAGATTGCATACACTATGCGATCAAACTAAAAGAGTCCACATCTTTACGAGACACCCTACATAAGGCGAAAGTGAATGGAGTGTATCTTGGTTGGTAGACGGCTGCACCTGCACGATCTCAGTGCACTATTGTTCAACATTTTTCATAGCCTACAGCTACAAACTCATATATGTATGTAGCCAGTTACATTGTTGCATTGCGTAAAAGAATTGAGATCAATTATATTATGTTCAGTAGTACATGGTTTTAATTAATTAAATCACATTGCGATATGTATGACGAATTCATGCCAATTTTGATTAATAAAAACAACATTTAACTTAATTTACCTAATTTTATGAATTGTTTACTTTATGCAACAAAAAACAATACAATAAAAGAAAACAATTTATAATTTTATCACCTTTTATACAACAAAACGGGCAAGGACAGTGAGTGGTAAAGGTACGGTAGCCAGGCAGTGTCCGCGGAAGCCGTGGGGACAACTGGGGACATTAACATTGCAGGAAAGGGGGAGGCAGAGGTTTATAAAACATGGGAAGATGATGCGGACATCGAATAACCTGGGGACATTGTCCCTCTTTTGTCCCCACCCTTCGGCGGCCACTGACTACGCACACTAATTTTACTTCAGAGGTAACAAACATACTACTGATTGATTCCAGAAACAACAAAATAATTTCGTCTAGCCTCGAATAAAATGAACACGAATAATGAAAATATAAATTCGAGTTCAAAGTATTTCTCCATCCCACCCAATTCAGTCGACTGTGCAGAGAAAGCGAATTTTCTGCCTTTCTCTCTCTTTCTCTCCCGGTTTCATCTCATCTATCCGAACTGGAATTCTGCCCGGTTTTTGCTCCTTTGGCAATTTAAATTTGAAGGGAAAGTAGTCAGTCGTTCGTTCGTGGCTGGTGGATGCAAAATTAAATAAATGAAATAAACGTCCACGTTTGTTAGTGTTTTCTCCACCACTTTCACCAAGTGATTGATGCTGTGTAGTTACGGCGTGAATTTTGTTTGCTTCCAGTCCAGCTACTTTCATCCCAATAATAACGAACGAAAGACAACAAAACAGCCCACTCAACACCAACAACTTTCACCCGCTTGTCTGCTTAAATTTCTTTTTATTTAGCTCTCTCCCTGCCTGCAAATACTACATGGGAGCAAAATACTAGAGAGGAACATGATGATGAGTCGCCTATATTAGGAAAATGGTGATGTTATTTTTGTGTAAAGAGGAGAGAAAAAGAGAAAGTTGGTTGGTCCAATATATAAACAAGAACAAAGGAACAAAGGAAACCCAGGCAGGAAAAGTGGCCGCAGAAGCCGTGGGGACATTAACGTTGTAGGATAGGGTAGGGAGGGGTTTATATAACATGGGGGGATGATGGGGACATTGTCCCTCTGTCCCACACTTCCGCGGCCACTGGGCAGGAACATCTACTAAGCCAGCCGACATATTGCAAGTGTTTTATATCTTGGTGATAAGTTTAAATTGAAATTCGCCCGCCTTCTAATGTTAATCTTACAGTCACGTGATGTTGGCGGGCTTTTATTCTATCACCAGCGAATAAAATACTTGCATTAGCACACCAATAAAAATCCTATGTACACAAACGATAAGCCAGTGGCCGCGACAGCTTGGGGACAGAGGGACAATTTCCCCACGGTTATTCGGTGTCCCCATCATCTCCCCATCTTATACAAACCCACTCCCTCCCTCCATCCTACAATGTTAATGTCCCCACACTTCCCCACGGCCACTGAAGAATGACGATCAAGCCAATTTCTTACCCTGCTTCTCACTTAAAACCAAAGCAAAAGCAACAAATAGTGCTGACAGTGAAAGTGACTGCGATTCGGTGGCTTGGCTGGAGGGTTCTTGTTACACACACGACGAGAACTGCACGATGACGCCATGCCGCGTCGTCGACTATATGAGAATAATATGAAAAAGTAAGAGAAAAAATGCACGACACAAGGGAAGAATTGCTTTGCCGAAGCGGAGATAACTTTTTCTTTCAAAATGAGACATCGCGTGAAGGACAAGATGCAAAGAAAGGATATAATATGGCTCCAAAGAGGAGGCTTCGTTTCGTGGAAGAAATGATGAAAAAGACTTTTGAAATCTTCCACCACCAGTGGCCGCGGAAGCCGTGCGGACAGAGGGACAATTTCCCCACGTTGATTCGATGTCCCCATCATCTCCCCATGTTATACAAACCCCTCCCTCCCCTATCCTACAATGTTAATGTCCCCACAGCTTCCGCGGCCACTGTCCACCACGCCCATCGTTGAATTGAAGGTGTGTTGTTTGTTGACTTTCACTTACACACAACTTCGCAATACACAACCTAGTAGAAAGGGCAAGAGAGAGAAGCGAAATTGGCGTAGTAAAACGATACAGAAACCTCAGAAGAAAATGAGCGATTGACTGCAATAAAATTGATGAAAGTTACCCCATTTTTCGGTCTGTGAACGTTTCCAGAATTTTAAAACCTAACTTTTACTATTATTGGATGAGAGAGAACCCCTCTTCATCCATTCCTATTACAGATTAACGTGGGTGGGGCTAAGTCATGGAGAAACTGTCATTTCAACGAAGAGGACGACATTAAATAAGTACTTACTCTCATCCATTACATGGTTGATTTTTCCCTACGGTGTGTCCCGTAAAAAAAGGACAAAGGTGAAGCTATGATACTACACGAGTCGCTTATAAACTTGTGAATTTGCTGCATCACTTCACTAACAAGTTGCCTCGCTGACTAGTCGACTGGAAATTAAATAGTAGTTTAAACAAAGGAAAAAGTAGAGAATGAAAGAAAGAAAGCTGGCAACAAAAAGGGAACAGCTTTCATTGAAAAGGACTAGCGAGCCAGCGAGCCAGGCAGGACGTGGATTCTCACCGGTGAAAGTGATTACATTTATTTGACTTGATTAAACATGCAGTCTCACTAATTTAGATAGTGGTGCTTCTGCTCGAAAAAGTAGTGGGAGGTGGGTGTGGGAGTGAGTGAGGAATAATATGAATGGCAAAACTGTACCACCACCAAATTCGCCCAGAACTCTGTCCGAGTGGTGGTGGTGAAAAACTGGTGAAAGTAGCGATCCCGTCGGACTGAGCGACCAGTGTGGAGGGAACTGGCACCCGATTCGCATCTATCTCCCACATTTACACACACACTTTATTTTACCATCTACACCAAATAACCAAGCCAATCGTATAGGAAAATACATAGCACGTTCTTTCATTCTTCACTTTTTTTATCTCTTTCCCCTCAAGAGAAAGTTATCTGATTGGATTGGATCTGATTTGGTTTGGCACACAAGTAGTAAAAAAAACATTGGGCTAGTTATCACAAAAGTCGTGTTACAAGAATTTCTCCTTACATATTTGAAGGATTATAAGATTAGATCACAAGGACCGAGTGAGACAAAAACTCGACAATACGATTTCTTCGCCACGCAAATATTTTTTGGCAACATATTCAACCCTTGTTTCTATTTTATCCAAAAAATAATTTGAGGAGTGACTATGAACTGAAGCTATTGCCTATTAATAAGGCACCCATTTTGTAAAAACGGCTTTCGAACGGTGCCACAAACGCCCGGGTTTTTCCTCTCCTCTTGAAAAATCCCAGAGTGAATCAACCTCAACAACCCCAAGGCTAGATTTTACCACCACAGAAAGCGATACAAATCAAGGTAAGAAACGTTCAACTTTCACCGCACGTGTATGTACATATTTCAAACTAAATCAGTAAATTAGTTCCCCATCAAGAAAAAATTAACAACTTTCCTCCAAAAACTGTATGCCCAACAAATTATGTAGATTGTAAATTTGTTAACTACACGAATTTACCCAGGCAGCACTTCTTGTGCAAAGAATGAAAACCCATTATCAACATTTTTTAGCACTAAAAGTAAGTAAAACAAAACCGCTCGAAAGTACTTGAAGTGTTGGAGCTTACACTTTCTCTCCTCTCCTACTTTCTCTCACCCGTGGCTATTTCCAGAACAGACCTGTAGTTCAACTCTGTAGGCAATTTAAAGCCGGAGTGGATCCGAAGAATGGGTCCATCACATCACTTTACTTACATTGCTGCTTTCTTGTAAAATAAAGCAGCAGCAGCATCAAACTGCTCAAAGTACGTACTTGTACATCGTGAGGTTTTCTTGAGACCAACCATAAAACAGCGCAGTCAGTGCAGAAGAGAGGATTGAATTAAATAAGTTGCACAAGTAAATAAGTGCCGACCAACCATGTATTTGACCGAGGAGTCAAGTTGGTTTTCTTCACGGAGCCACTTTCTTTCTTATACCTTCGTCTTTCTTTTCACGCCGCCAGCGTTTCTTCTGCCTCCAATTTCAGCGGAGGTTTCGCTTACATAAAACTTTCCGAATTACCAAGTCATTAGCTTCACAACCTCATGGTTAAAAGCCTTAAGCCACAACAATGCCCAAGTCCCAGTGCCACCGCCGTGCTCATTTCTCTTCTTCTTCTTCTTACAATTACCATGGGGGAGTATCTTGAGGGAGTGAGAGAGAGAGAGGAATGTGACTCAGAATGGAGGTGGACCAGCGTATGAGATCCGATTTTGGGCAAAATAGCGCCAATCGATTCAGAATTTAATTAGTATGAAATTTGCGAAAGATACAATCTCCCAATTGGCATGTTTGGCAGAGATGTTTGCATCCGAAGAGGAGAAAGCGCGCCTTAAAATCGACAAATTGCATAGTTTCTAAATTTACTGCGCGCTTTCTCCTCTTCGGATGCAAATATCTCTGCCAAACGTGCCCATTGAGAGTTCGTGTCTTTCGCAAATTTCATAACAATTAAATTTATGATCGATTGACACTATTTTACTGAAAATCGGAGGGCATACGCTGGTCCACCTCCATTGCCAGACGATGCGGTTCATAATATGGTGGCAGGAAGTAAAAGGATGGAGGTTAGTTTAGAAAATTAAAGTTTCGCCACACCGCACGACCACGGGAAGCAGACGAGAAAGAAAGAAAAAGCCAGTCGGAAAAAGTGGTGGCCAACTTTCTCCTCTCTCGTGTTGTTTATCTTTGTGTATCTTTCTTATAAGTAGAATGCTCGACTTGACTTTCTCCTCCTCCTCCAAAGTAGCAGACTTTTCTCTTCGTTTTTCACTTCTGTGGGAAATTTCACATATGCAACACACCCACCAAACATAGGCTGGGATAAAAAATAATTCAAAGAGGATGATGACGATGATGATGATGGCGGTGGCGATGTAGGCGTCACTTTCTCTATCGGTCCTTCTTCAGTATTAGCTTGCCTCTCAGAATTATGGAAACTCTTTCTCCTTTTTCTTTCCCTCTCGGAAGGATATGATTTATGAAACATCATTGTCCCAGCGTGATTCAGGATGGAGAAACAAATTGTTTTCACTCAACGTTTTCAGGGCAAAATTTGAGAGAAATATTTTACTCTTGGTGGAAATCTGGTGGCTTTGTTGCTTTCCTCCTGCTGCATATGTGCGAGCTGTCAAAAAAAGTGAACGGATGCAAAAACATGACTTGGAGTGGAGGGGTGAAAGTTGAATTCAATTTCTCGAATTTTTCTCTTCCTTCTCTCCTTCCTCACATTCCAATATACTGGTTTTGGTTTCGGTTTTATTATTATTTCAAGAATGTCATGCATTAGGGAGATGAAGGAAGGGAGAGGAGAAAGTAAGTGGTTTGGTTTTCTGGTCTGGTCTCGAGCTGGATGACATACCGTGATATGAATGGCGTGCTATTTGCATTGCATAATTGATGCGAGGCAAGCAACAAGCAGTAAATGGGCAGACTTTTCCATACCCAACCAACCAACCAACTGTTGATGATGGAAAGAACAGGTGGACGACGAAAGTAACTCGAGGGAAAGCAAGGTGTGTTACTGCTTTTTCTAGGAATTTTTCGTCTCAATGTTGTTCGCCTATTCCAATTCAATTTCCTGGAGTGGGGTTTTTGATGGAGATGGTTCCTACCAGGTTTTGGACGGGACTTTCCTACTGCCACTGCTGGTTGGGAATCGATTTCTCCAATTTTTTCGCTCGCTTTAAACTCTGTGTTGGTTCGCAGTACTTTTGGAGATACCTCTTCCCATCACCTCCTTTTCTGCCCGGACTGATATTCTAGAATTGTGTAGTCCGTGTAGTGCCTGGATCGATAAGTAAGAAGCCTTTCATTTCCATGCACTTCCTTCCTTCACTGCTTTCACCTTCTTCTTCTTGGCAAAAGGGAAGCAGTGAAAGCTGAAAAGTTATGGCTTAAAGGTATCAAACCTCTCATCATCATCTCATCAAGATGTCTGCGTCCTGTTGCATCTTCTGAACGGACGGACAGGAGGCGAGAGAGAAATGTGAGCTCGAAAAGAGAGTGAGAAGCCACTCAGGACCAGAAAGTAAATGATTTTCCCCATTTGTCAGATACGTAATGTTCGTTGGTGAACGAGGAAATCTTTTCCGCAAGCACAAAAGTTAAGCACAAGGAAAGGTGAAAATGCTAGTTGACTCACAAACTTTGGGTGAAAATGGTATTGAACTTGGAAACTTTGCAGTGAAAGTAAACCCGTAATTTTAGATGGTACGTTGTCTTGTAGGCGTTAGATTGTCAGCACAAGTACAAGAACCAACCACCACTTGGTTGGATTAGTGTCATTCATGTCGAGTATTATTCCGTATTGTCACCGGGAGGAGGAGGGGATATGTTGGTGAAAGTGTGAATCATCCTCGTCATCTTATTCCTCTTAGTGGGCTACTTGAGCTTCTGGTTTCATTGTGTAGCAAGTTTTACGCCATTTTACGTCCTCCTTCGTAGGAGGAGGAGGAGATTACATACAAGTTGACTCGAACTTGTCAAAAAGTCTTCCTTTTTACTACATCCATCAGTTGGCTGCTCCTCGTGAAGAAGATGGAAGACGACAAGTTACTTATTATGAGGTTCGTAGCAGACCAACTACTTTCACTCTTCCCTCCATTTCTGCTTCTTCTTCTTCTAGTAATAAAACCAGTTGGGATTGTCAACTTGTCATCTAAAATGCAGACTTGGAGTGAGAGTGAAAGCAGCAAAATTAGCATGAATAATACTAGAAAAGAGGAAGGAAATTCGAGTCGTACACACACTAAGTTCAGTTCAGTCCTGCCACGGGCAGCGCGGGGATACAAACAACTTTATTAGAAATTATGTTTATGCACCTTTTTATCCTGATTTTACCCTTTGGCCAGGCCTAAAAGTTTCCATTGTTCACGATCGACTTTGTCTGAACCATTGAAAATGAATTGGGGTTGTTTTTCTTCATCAATTTTGTGAACAATGATACCATGAATTATTTAGGTCGAGAATAAAGGATTCTGCACGTGTAGGCCACATGTTATCGTAATGAATACATATATTTATGATATTGTGGACAATGTTTAGAGCCCATTTTCTTTCAAAAATGGAATCCGAATCTCAAGTTTGGGAGATTCTATTCCTGATTTGAATCCTTTGTGGATACCACGCATTCCGGCGTTTCGAGATCCGGATTCGGGCAGAATCCGGATCAAACACAGGATTCGAATTTCGAAAAATTCCTTCATGTACAATATGGTGTTTAATACATTGAGGGTTTCGATATTTTTTCCAAGTGACAAGTTGAGAAAAATAGCCAGAAAAACCTACTCCTAGCACCTTTGCGGGGCCTTTTAAGATGGCATTAATGCCATCTTGGTAGTTAATGGCAACACATTTGGGTGGAAAGGACCCCCACTGGCCAACCACTTGACCGATCATGCCCATCTCCGAACTCATCCTTACTTTTTACCCGAAGATGAAGCATGCAAAATTTCAACTCGATAGCTTTGGTTTAAAGAGAGTTATCGTGCGCACAGACGGACGCACAGACGGACGGACAGACAGACATCTGGGTAAATCTATAAGGCCATCTTAAAAGGCCTAAAACGATAAAAGTAAGACAAAAGCTTTTATTCACACCCGAGCTGTTCGGGATCTTGTATAAACATTCGCTACTTTCCAATCCGGAGTAATATTCCTTCAACACGTTGGAGAAAGCTACTGGACGAATACGAATAAGGACGGCGGACGCGGAGTGAAAGCAACGCGGTGAAAGTAGCAACGTAATATTAGCCAAATGACGTGCCGACTTTCACTCACTTACTTAATACACCGATATACTTCCCCATATATAAATGTATAGCACGTTTTAAGCTCCAAGCTGGCGAGCTTAATAATTCAGGGCGAATTTGTCCTCGGGGAAATATTTAAAAGTGGCAGATGGAGGACAACGATACCCTAGTTTTTATTAATTTAAAGTGTTGCAGAAAATAGTTGGCAATACGGTATTGCACAATTTCACCCTTATACGAAACGATGCCCGATACTTTGCACTATAATTATTTTCTCCTCCTTTCCCTAAAATAAACAAGGCAGCCCGGCCAAACTTGGAGTTAATAATGCATAAAATTGTTTGTAAAACTTTTGTTATTTACGACCCGTTGGAGTTGAACTGACTACGTCCAATTTTTTTTGAGTGGTGGTGGAGAAAGTACGCACTCTTCTAGTAGCCACTGTACCGTTTATTCAAGCATGATGAAATTCAAACAAGCTGTTTTTTCCCCTAAAAATAAATGAGTCGTCGCAGATTTAAACTTTCCCTACGTCCACATCATCATGTTTGTCGGGTCGACTGCATT